AAATTACATTTTTTTTCTACTTTGCGTTCCTGAAAAATAAAGTTGCAATTCGAGCTAATACTAGATAACTAAATTACAAATAAAGGTACCGAAATTGCATCTGTAAACAAATGGGAACGGAACAGGCTTTAAATTTGAAACGTTGCTATCATAATAGGGGATGCTTAGGTATCTCCAGGCTTCTGTCTTCATGGCCACGCAAGGCTCGCTATATCGTTACCCCCAGACACGCCAGTTAAACCCATCGCTCCGCTTGATATTCCACGGTCGATTAATGACACACCAGCACAAGTTACGCAGTCGGTTAAATCGCTTATCCTACGCCATTAGAGCTAGTCTTACACGTCACTCGAGCGCACTTTACTCCTAACGTTCATATAATACGACTCTAAGTCGAACGCACGCCGCTGCCAGGAAGTCAGCCGGAATTGGGACGCAATCATAGCTTTTATGGAAGCCTTGAGCAAACCTGCCTGCCGGTTAAACGCGAGAACACCGTCAATTTCCCTCTCGGCCACGGCGAGGGCAGGCAGGCTCCGATCTTCACTTTTCTCGACCACCTGCCTTACGATCATTGTTTGCACAGCTGTGTTCAGCCGGAATTATAACTTTATTCCTATACTTTACGAACTTCACTCCATGAAACGTTATAACAGAATAATGACAAGTATACAGGGTGAGGAACCTAAAGGTGCGTATCCATTTGTTGCGTATCCTGGTATCATTCCTGTCAGCCAATCCTGCAAAGCCAAATTTTGTCCAATGCCTGTTATAAGATTATGACTGAAAGTTTGATATAAGCTTTACTTATAAACGACTTGCCCGTACACTAACGTGCAAACTCGGCTTCCGATAGGGGGAAAGTAGCGTAGAAGAAAAGTCTCCTACCACTTGGTATTGGGAATTATTGAAACTCACGCCAAATTAACATTGGATTTAACATTTATTTCAGTAGTTGAAATAAATTTATCAAGTGGTGGGAGGACCTTCCCCTTCGCCACTTTTTCCCCTAGCGGAAGCCGAGTTTGTTCGCGAGGGTACATTGGCAGCAAATTGTCAACAAATTGGCTCACGCAGAGTCTCCGTTTGTCAGCAAGCTTTGCTTGCAAAACCCGAGCCAAATGCAGAAACAGATGGTTATGGTTTTTTAGACAACTTTTGTTATTATTTGCTGGCAATTTGCTCGAAAATTGTACACAACTGGTTATCAAGGATATCAACGATGCAACGCTTGCTCGTTCACATTGATACACAACGATGATGCGATACGAGGACATTTCGCTACGTAATTGTTCGCTACACTTGTATGAAAGTCTACGTAATTATAGGAATCGAATGTTCACAGTAATAAAATCATATTCACAGTGATTAAATTTGCATTGAAATCTTAACTATCGTTGCGACTCGTGATCGTAAGGCGAGCGGTTAATAAACCTCTTAATGGAGTTTCGTTATTTCTTCTTCTTCGATCATCTTTCTCGCGAATGTAAAAATATAATGGTACTTTTTTTGTTCGTTCGTCACGACGTTAAATGATATCATTTAGATCATTTTGTTTTTCTCTTAATCGTATAAGCTCGATGAAGAATAGAGAGACAGAAACACGCTTGTGGCTATAACATTCCTCACGGTGCGAGCACGCGACAAGATGGACGTCAGAAATCATCATCGATCACTCTCGGCGTTTTACATCTAGAAGCGTCTAATCGTTTTTAATGTCCTCTGTTTATTGTCGAAGAGAAAAAGTGTTAGCTTATTATCGTGACGTTTGGTCGTGAAAAATGATTTCCCCGTTAAATTTATTTCGCTCTCACCTCGATTCCCTACCCGCGTAACGATCCATTTATCCCCCCCCCCCCCCCCC